GATCCTGAGACTTCTTTTCACCTTTTATATAGTGGGAGTTATTACGTGCATTTTTAATTTGATTTTTCATTATTAAATAACGTCTTCTGAAATGCATATAACAAACCTCACTAAGCAGCGCCATAGCTCGGGTGGTTAGTCGCTGAATCCCACCTCGGCTGCCCGGGTTCAAGCCCAGGTAAAATCATATTGGATTTGTGGTGAACAAAGTGGCACTGGGGCAGGTTTTCTCCGAGTACTTCGGTTTTCCCTGCCAATCTTCATTACACCAATTGCTCAACAATCACCATTATCTATCATCTGGGGCTGCTACCGTAGGCCCATAGCGGCCGCAGTACCAAGTGAACTCAGTCTCAACTTAATAATAATAATAATAATAATAATAATAATAATAATAGTAACCACAATAATTCGAACTGCCTTCTGCCTTACGTATGTATTTTTTGCACGCGAAACAGCGATTCTTCCTGAATGGGAATTTAATGATAACATTTTACACTTTTTACCAACTTAGAAAAGTAACGAAATAAATATATATCAACTATTTTTACTGAAGAGGAATAAAAATTTATTCTTTAAATTCAACTTTGTTTCGTTACAAAAACTTTGTAGTCCTTTCTTTTTGCTTCATAATATTTGTGTCCTAATAGCAAATAAATTAACATAGGTTTGTTATCTATGAACGAATTTCTTTTCTTTTTATGAGCTTTGAAGTATTCACATAGAATTAAAATATAAAATTCTGGCTTTTCACTAATTTGGACACCCTTTCCCTCTTCTGTTCCGAGTTAATGAAGTTTTCTGTATAGCGTTGAGAGCAAGGACATGCAAGGAAGCGACAGTGGTGCCCTCTTGAAGAGAGTGAGGAAAACACGAATAAGCTGCCTATATTCTGGTTTATTGTAAGTCAGTGTCGGTGTCACGGGCTGTATCCCTATAAGCGTAGAGTGGTAGGAGGAATTGTGAGTACCGAATTAGAATCGAATTGGAAGGAACATGTTTTGGCCTAATCGAGGTAAAATCCCGGCATGTCCGCATAGACGGGGAATGCCACAGGAACTTCAGTGAGAATATTCGGTACCCCAGCCTAGATTCGAGATCAGTATTCCCGAAAACAAGTCTAGAGCGTTACGGCCCGACCAGTCAGTAACCTGTCAAACTCGCCTGAGTCTGAGGAACGAAACAGCAGCAGGAGCGCTAACCACTGTGCTCGAAGTGACAATCAAAGAACCCTCCAGTTAAAATGAGTATTTGTACGGTGTTACGGTGGCACGTCTGGGGGAAATTTGCAATTTCTCAAATAAAGGTAAGGTAAAGCTATCCCTGTAACAGGCCATGGAGGCACATATGGTTGTGAGACGCCCAGTCTCCCACATTTTCTATAGACAATCCGCTCACAGATGGCGGTTAGTTTCTCAAACTAACGCACCGGCCGCCCTTTACCCACCAGGAAGATTCCCAGTATTCATTTCTATTAGAGGCTGAGTCGACCCCAGGCCACAGTACGGCTGGAAGGATTGGGTAAACTGAAGAAAATACAATCCACCTCATCGGGACTCGAACCCGCGGCCTTCCGGCTTGTAGTATAGTGCCTTACCATCTACGCTACCGCGTGCATAGTCATTCAAATTAGACTGAGGTCTGCAGCTGTTTAATCTACAGGCTGCCCCTAAAGTAATGATTATAAGTGAAGCAATAATATGCTGGTGAAAACGAAATTTGTGCATCAGTGAGCCGGTGCCTGCCTGTCCGTTTCGCGCCGAACACAGACTGCTTTTTGCGGAACCATGTACTCGCTTTTCCTCGCACACTGTTTCTGAACCACGGGATCGTTCAGACAATGTCAGGCGGCTTTCAGAAACCGCTTCCCCTTTTCAGCACCATCAAAGAGCGTCATGCAGACGGTGGCCCAAAAGCTGGAGACTCAAGAGGGAGGAGGTCGGCCTGTAGCAACTGGTAATATGGCGCAGGACGTGCGGCAGCCGCTCCGGGATTCGCTTGCAGTCATGCCGTCGGCTGTCACAGGGACTACCAAACTGTCAGAGAGGGGAAAGGAAAGGAAGGATTCGCTCGCACCGTGTTACTCTTCTTCCAGAATTCCAACCTCCTGGCATGCGGGAATACTGCCAAAATATTTGCTGTCCAAAATACCGACGTTTTGATATTGTGATGAAGCTCGGTTATATCTGTCTGGATACGACAGCTCACAGAATATGCTCGTCTGGGTTGTTGCAATTCCCTCCTCATGTCACTCACAAGGAGTTCTCTATCCACCTATCCACAGAAAGTTGGGGTGTGGTGTACTCGGACAGCTGGCCTCATTTCCTCCACACGATCGCCAACACCGCTACCTACCTCGACGTTTTGCAAGAATTTGTGAATCAGTCGATGGCCGCGAGCTGACACCAGGTTATATTCAGCAAGAGTGAGTGGCGTGTTACATGTCTAACCGGAATACTAAGGAAGCCTCTCTTGGGATAGAATTAGCTCGAGAGGGACCACATCTGTGCTCTAGTGGTCAGAGTACCTGGCTACAGATCCAGAGGTCCGGGTTCGATTCCCGGCGCTACCAGATTTTCTGAGAAGTAGTGGGTCTGGAATAGGGTCCACTCAGCCTTGAGAGGATAATTGAGGAGCTATTTCAAGGAAATAGCGGTTCCGGCCTAGAAAACCGAAATTGGCGGCCGTGGGGATTCGTTGCGCTGACCACGTGACATCCTTTATCCGCAAAAGTTGGCACTAACTTCGCGCGACAAGCGGCGGTCGCTCGGTCGGACTAAATGAACGGTGTTTGCCTTCTTCTTCTTCTTCTTCTTCTTCTTCTTCTTCTTCTTCTCCTCCTCCTTTTTTTTTTTTTGTATTATCTCGAAAGACCTTTGGCCACCCCAGTCTCGTTACACGAGTCCGCTGCTCTTCTTGTGGCGTCAACTAAAGAGCGGGCTGTTTACACACAAACCTTGCACTGCTGATGACCTGGAGAGAAATATTACAGTACGACTCACAACCCTGCTTCTCCTATTTCTATGCTGACTGCAACATCCAAGAATACAGAGCATCGTGTTAGTCTGTGTCTCCAAGCACAGGGAAACCGATTCCAACGTCGTTTGTAACAGAGTTGTCTCAGTCATTCAGCAAATTTATGTTGTTGTCTCGTCACCAAAATGCAGGGCAAAATCATGACATAAAGATAGGAAACAGATGTTTTGAAAATGTGGCACAGTTCAGATATTTGGGAACGACGATAACAAGTCAAAACCTGATTGAGGAGGAAATTAAGAGGAGATTGAACTCGGGTAATGCTTGCTACCATTCAGTCCAGAACCTTTTGTCTTCTCGTCTGCTGTCTAAAAGCATAAACATTAGAATATAAAAAACTATAATTTTGCCTGTGGTTCTGTATGGGTGTGAAACTTGGTCTCTGACATTAAGAGAGGAACATAGACTGAGGGTGTTTGAGAACAGGGTGTTGAGGAGAATATTTTGACCAAAGAGAGATGAAGTCACAGGAGGTTGGAGAAAACTGCAAAATGAGGAGCTTGTACTCTTGTCCAAGTATAATTAGAATGATCAAGTCAAGGAGGATGAGGTGGGCAGGTCATGTAGCACGATTGGGGACGAAGAGGAATGCATATAGGACATTGATGGGAAAGCCAATAGGAAAGAGACCACTGGGAAGACCAAGGAGTAGGTGGGTGGACAATATTAAAATGGATCTTAGAGAGATAAGTTGGGATAGCATGGATTGGATTGATCTGGCTCAGGATAGGGACCAGTGGAGGGCTCTTGTGATCATGGTACTGAACCTTCGGGTTAATAAAATGCTGGGAAGTTCATGAGTAGCTGCACAGTTGGCGGCGTCTTAAGAAGGGCTCAGTTCCATGAGTGAGTGAATAGTTTAAAATAGTGGGAAATACTTCATATGTGTGTACTGGTTTCGTGGGATGGGCTGAAACTGAGTCTACTTGGTACGTCGGCCACTAACTGGTCTATTGTATCAACCCAGGATGATAGATGGGTATGGTGCATTTTGGTGGAATGAGAATTTGCAGGGGAAACTGAAATACTAGGAGGAAACCTGCCCTAGTGCCACTTCTTCCACCACAAATCCCACCTGACTTGACCTGGAATCGAAACCTGGTCGCCGCGAATGGAAGCCGGCAACTAACCTCCTTATATATGGCACTGCCAAATACAGCAGATTATATGCGTGGACTCCTGTGATTCATACAGACAAATGTGCCTAGTTTTGTAAGGAGAGTCAAATGAAAATGAGTATTGGCTGAATATGTAACGCGGAAGAAAATTTATCGGAAAAAAATCTTGGAGAAGGGCGATATGAAAAGGTTAGACTCAAAATAGATAATAATATTAAAATGGATGTTACGGAAGTAGATTGTAAGGATATGAAGTAGTAGGAATGGACTCAGGATCGCGTCCAGGGAAGCGCGATCCTGATACGTCGGGTTATATTACCTTAACATTGTGTATTTCGAAATGTACGGCAACGTTTATCTAACTTTTAAGAACATGTCATGAGGCACAACTCCATTCTTTTCGGTTATGGACTGAAGTCGGGTCAGGGTTAGATTGAACACCATTCCCCTTAGCACGTAGCGACCACGCTTCAGTGTGAGTTCCTCCTTCCCGCCAGTTGTCCCTTCTAGTTTGGCGGTTGTTCCGTCACGTGATCTTTCTCTCTCTTGGCGCTCCCAGTTTGTTACTGATTTTGTTGGAAGGTAGATGCAGAATATAAGTAAGTGAAACACCGGACTACTGTTCTAATATTCGAAATAAATATGACACCAGCATCATTATTTGACGTAAATACAGCATAACTATAATCTGGGTTCGGAGCGTGAACGTAAACACAACATAGGTAGTTCTCAGTATACAAGCATGTGAACAGCGTCAGACAGCGCGCGACTAGTGACCTCTTCGGTGAGAATGTTCTGTCTGTCTGAGTTGAGTTCTTTGGCCTAGCGGGTGCGCTCTCGCTTGAGCACAGCGTTCAGCGGCTTCAGTGCGTCTCGAGACTCAGTAGGTGTGTGTGTGTTGTAGGCGCGCGCGTTTTGCAGCACTACTGTGTGTATACGCTGAAGTCACTAGAAATTCAAGTTTCATTTATCATCCAATGATCTGATGTTGTTGGAAGTAATTGTGCTCTGTTTTGTTAAATAATTACCGAGAAGAGAAGAACCTTTCAGCGTGTTTGGCGTGTGCGGGAGAATGTAGTAGACTTTTTACGTTCCAACTTTTAGAACTTTTTAAATAGCTCAGACTGTAACGTTTGTATACCGTGTAGTAGTCATTACAACATTGAATATACCGTATTTAAAAGTATTATGTGATTGGAAGGTGGATCTCAAGTCAGTTGAGTAGACTTGTGTGGGTTCAGAGATAGTAAAACGTGGCGCGTTTGTGTTTTGTGGTTATGTGCAAATGTTACTGTTCCTGGAGTTTAACATATGAATTACCTGGTTGTCCTTTGGGGATATCGCTTCTGTTATGGTAAGTTGTATTTGTAAGACTGGTTTCTGATTGTGCATTAGCTTGTGTTTATATTTTTCAAATAGGAGGTGGTGCTTGCTGCGGAGTCTTGCAGTGTCGTTTTTTGCAGTACCCGTTTTGGTATAAAGTAGTAATTTATAGACCATTCTGAGACTATTTATAAATGTTATCAGAGAGTGAAACGAGCCCAGTTAGCAGAAATCTGCTAACGTAATCTGCGTAGAATCAGATTTCTTGAAATGCTCTGTACATGTTTACGAGACTGTAGTATAACATAGCGTAAATGTAATTAATTGATTAAACTTATCTCATCATTCGTAACGTGTCACAAAAACTGAATTTGTCGGAGGAAGTGTAGATGTGTTCAAATGACATAATATATTTTATTTTAATTTCCGTAAATAGTGCGACCTCGTCAAAACATCGTGAATAGAAAACGATATCGCCGTAAATTAGTGGAACTTCCGACCGTCGGTAACAATTAACGAAGCACTTAAAAGTAAAGTTGTCTCTGTGCATAACTAATTAAGCTCTACTCTATTAAGGCGTATGAGGGAGTGGATATATAGATCCACATTTTCTTGACCTGTGAACTAGTTGGAGGTTAGTGGTCAGTTTTACTCACCGGACGCTTTACCCCCGGGGAAAGAGACCCCAGTACATATTGGATAGGAGGCTGAGTGGACCACAAGACCGGTCTGGACGACATGAAGAGAAAATTCTTGACCCTACCGGGACTCGAACTCCAACACCTGGGTCGTGCAGCCCGTAGTCAGTCGTTAAACCGATTGCGCTATCCCGGCTCATTACGAAACAGAATTATAAAATGATTCCTTAAATGTGTTCAAATTCAGTATGGAGATTAAACATAGCCCACTTGATATTCAGTTTTATTTATTTCATATCCATTTCTGATGCCGCATCATCATCATGTGGCATGATATTAGAAACGTGATGTAATGTAAAGAGATTTAAAATTAAAAGAAAATTGTACATGTTATCGTGCAGGTGTCGCCGAAATTTCACGTGTCTGTGAAAGAAGTGGGCCCATAGTTGTAGCGAATGAATGTTTTGAACTGAATGAAGCAAGTAAATTTCTTCAGAACGTCACTGAGGAAATTGCAAAATTAGTTCAGACAAGATGCTTACGTTCTTCAATTTTTATCACGTTTACTCGCGCTATGAGAGATTACATTTGTAAACAGTTGTGGTTAATCAGGTCTGCCACTGCTTCCGAAAATGTTCAAATGAATATGTATTTACTTCACTTACATTCACCAGAGCTGAAAAACGGAATGAATGGTAAAGTCGTTGTGCCCAAATGGTGATTACGTGGAGGAGGAACAAGGAAGTACAGGCATTGATGTTTGTACTAAGTTGAGGTCACTGGTCAGCTTGATGCTCCTGTCCATTTATCCTTGCGGCAAAGCCTTGTGTGTATTGAATAAGGAGTTGGGTGGCCCTCGGGTCCATTTTACGCGCGGTGGCAAAGCTGCAAGTCAAGGCATCTGTCGATAATACAACCTCGGTGTTAAGTAGGGCTTGCAGAGTTCTTTACAAATCTCTTCAGCAATTTTGTGTGCACAGTATTTAACGCTCGAGTCGTAAAGAGAGCAAACAAAGTTACACAGATGTTTTTCACTGTGTCTGTGTTGGTCTTGAGTTACGTATATTCCTTACTCTCCGGAAGCTTCAACCGATGGCCGAGTGAACACTTTCTCATACACGTTACTTTCAGAATATAGTAATCTTACATGTGGGCCGCGCCATAGCTCAAGCGGTTAGTCGCTGGCTTCCCACCGCGGCGGCCCGGGTTCGATCCCGGGTGTGGTCAAGTGGGATTTGTGGTGGACAAAGTGGTGCTGGGGCGGGTTTTCTCCGAGTACTTCGGTTTCCCCTACCAATCTTCATTCGACCAAATTCTCCATCATAATCACCCGAGGCAGGTACAATAGGCCAATCAGTGACCGCCGTGCCGAGTGGACCCAGCTGGACTCCACCCTCCACTAAAAATATTACATGTGTGGATTCGGATAAGGAGCCTGTATACCCTTCCAGAAATTCCAAAATTCTGTCGTTTGAGTGTGTGTGTGTGTGTGTGTGTGTGTGTGTCTGGAGGGATAACACTGATAAGATACTTTGAGAGGTATGTCCTTAGGATGGCAGGCAGGTAGATTGAGTTGGCTTTGGTAGTGCTAAAGATATATGTGTATACATAACCAAAGACCCTTTTATAGTTATTACAATATTTTTATACTTTTGGTATCATGCAGGTTGGTCTAGTGACTTCCATACTAAAACTTAGCAGTATATATTCTGACCTGTCTGTTAGTACAGAGTTTTTTAACTGTGTTGACCGCTTCACGGTGACCGGTGCGCTGCTTGTCGGAAGGCGCATACGAATTTTGCCGATGAATCAGTATGCCTGATGGCCGATAACGTTTGAAATGGAGGGAAGTAATTAACTTGTGGACCGCTTGACGGCGTTATGTTTCGTCAGCAGTAGGCAGCAGTTATCAGCTCCGTTACCCATTTGTTCTCATTTACAGTCAGTCAGCAGTGCGGTATACTTTAGGGCAACGTGTATTTCTGTATGGCACCCATGCAAAATGCGGATCTGCTAGGAAGTGTCGACGAAAATTTCGACTTGAAGTTCGCGATGAAAAGCGTTCCCAGCAGACAAACAATTCACAAGTTTGTGAATAAACTTAGAACAACGGGACTCTTAATAGACAAGAAACGAAAACATAGGCGCCGAGTGCTTACTGAGGAGAAGTTAGATGACATAGAGGCCAGACTTGAACATACACCTAGAAAATCACTGAAACATGTAGCTCAAGAGACTGGAATGTCAAAGTCTAGTGCAAGAACGGCAAGCACAGCTTCTGAAGCCACCCAGTGAATGTTGGTGCCTGGTGTGTGTAGGTGCAAGGATTGTTGTACGTGTTTTTATAACGAAACATTTCATTGCGAAAGATGTCTACGTGTCCAGGTACAGCACTTGCACTATCTCCTGTGATCTTCGAATTGTAACTGCTTCATTCCAAAAATTATCGGCCGTAAGGCGTGCTGATTCATCGGCAAAATTCGTATGCGCCTCGCAGTACCGGTCGCCGCGAAACGCAGAGCCGTGGAACCGGCCAACAGGGCAAAAATTATCCGTTTATAATTGAATAAGTTTGTGTGGCGGTAGCACTCTGGACTCCTACACTGGAGGTATCTAGTTAGACTCTCAGCACGGTTACTTTATGCTCATTCAGTTTTCGCAGTTTTGTTCAGTGTCTCTGGGCCAATGGTGTAGTGGTCAGAGTTCCTGGCTACAGATCCAGAGGTCCGGGTTCGATTCCCGGCGCCGGATTTTCTGAGATTTAGGGGGTCTGGAAGGGGGCCCACTCAGCCTCGTGAGGATAATTGAGGAGCTGTTTCAAGGAAATCGCGGCTCTGGTCTAGAAAACCGAAATTATCGGCCGTGGGGATTCGTTGCGCTGACCACGTAACACTCTCTATCCGCAAAAGTAAGCACTAACTTCGCCGACAAACGGCGGTCGCTCGGTCGGTATAGTTCGCTTGCGGACTACAGGCCACGGAGTTAACTCCGGGCCGATGCCGAGATAAGAAACTACATAGTCCGAGGCGAATTCTGTGTTTTCCACTGCATGCTCTGGCGTTTCATTTCCGGGTCGTATTGAAAATCTCACGTTTCATCGCCGGTAATGACCCTATTATATATACATCTCTGCATTGTGTAGTAGTTCCGCTGAAATACGAAGCCCACGTTGTGTATGGACATTTTTCAAATATTCGAGGCACCATATTTGCTGAAATTTGTCTCATTCCCAAACCTCCCGTAATAATCTGTCGCACTCTGTCCCTATTCATATTCAGTTCTGCTGTTATTCTCACGCCTAACCTTCAATCTGAGCGTACCAAGGTTGGTACTCTGTCCACATTTTCATCTGTCCTTTGCGTTTTTGGCTGCCCACTTCTTGGATCATCTTGCACATCTTCTCGTCCTTCCTTGAATCCCCTGTACCATTCAAAAACACTCGATTTCTTCGTAGCGCATTCACAATAAGCCCCTGCTAATAGGGATAACGTTTCACTGGCACTTTTACCAATCTTCACACAAAATTTGACGTTTACCTGCTGCTCCATATTCTTATCAGTCATGTTTCCGCCAACAATATATCACGGACACGTACTGCTTCCTCTGCTGCTTGGGAACGAACGGCTCGTTTGATCTGTGGCTCATGTAAACGCAAGTTGGAACATTTCCAGACGTGCTTGGGTACATGAGTTTGTCTGACTCAACACTCCAGCGACTCGCTGCAGCCATTCCGGGAATTAAATTGTTACACCTTTTATGCGTGTCTGAGCAACACTGCAGAAGTGTGCAGTCGCCGCAGGCAATAAGTTGCCTCTCTGGAGGTCTAGGCAAGAGAGCGACTTCAGAAATGATCAGCATACGGTCTGTGGTTTACTTCACACCGTCAGTTCCTTGTATGACGAGGTAGTAAGCGATTCCACCTGGAAATTGCGGAGTTGTGACTCGTGTTCGAGTTCATCGCAGTTGTTAAAATTCAAATCCCAGTGGCGTGCTCGAGAACCGATAATCAGCCACGTGTTGACGTATTATCTGAAGACTAAAGGGGGCTGACATGTTGATGCTCATGAGAGTTGTGTAGGAGGATTTCTGTAACTTGAAATTGTTTGCCCCGCAGTTTGCGTCTAGCCAGAGGGAGGCAATATATCTCGGAAAATATTATCAGGCCCGAGGGAATATTCACGTTCTTTTTAAATACTTCGAATGTTATTGAGTATTATTTTCATGATTTATTCTGACCGTCTTACAGTGCATACATTTATTCACCTTACTCTTCTCTCTTGCACTACATGTTTCGGCACTAAAGTGCCATCTTCAGGTGCTTTTCGATGTACGTCGAACTACTGCATTGCATGCCCTGTTGTCTTTATACTAAAATAACTAAAATATATATTCG